CAGAACAGGAAAAACCCCGTGGTAACCCTGAGGTGGGGAGAAGGTGGGGAGCACGGGCAGCCCCCCCTGCCCAGGGGTGCTCCTCCGCCTGCCCCTCCACTCCCTTCCCGGCCGGGCACTCACCTGACCCGTACCCACACCATCGGCGCGACCCCGGCCCTTGGTCCCCTGCCACCAACACCCGGCCTGAAACCCACCCCTCGTCCCTGCCGTGGCTGAGTGCCCATCCTCCGCACACCTCCCGGCTCCCCGCCGCCAATAGCTCTGTACTTACCCAAAGAGCTCACTTGACAAGCTGCACACACAGCATAGCCTCCACCACCCCCGGGTTTGGGTTTCCCCCTTGTGAGGCTGCCCACCATCTCTTTTCTCTTCGCACCTGCTAGTTGGCTTCTCTTTATGTTGGGCACCCAGTTCACAGGCTGTCGGCCCCTGTAGGAACAACAGTGACAAGTCCATATACAACATCTATCTGGAAATCTGACCTCACAAATGCAGAGGCAGAATGTAGAAACTGGGAAGGCGGGCGAACAGACAGGGGGAAAAAACTTACAAACTTGGTCTTGTGGCTGCAAAAGTCTTGGTTGGATTACTAGAAAAGCAATGGATCCAACCTGATGTTTCTCCGGCTCTTTATGTTTTCACCCCTGAATTTGCTACATGGTATTTTGGGGGAGCAGATGTGCCTCTGATGTTTTGGGGGCCTAGGGGCTATGTTGCGCCCTGGGTAGGTACATCTTAGAATGTCCAGTCCTTTGCCTTCTCTGCTGCATGTGTCACTGAGTTCTCCCTTCCTCACTCCAGCAGTAGATGGATCTGAAGAAAACCGTTGGAAGTTTCTTAAGGGCTTCAAGATGCTTTGGGTGAGGCCCTAATCCAGAAGGGAGGCAGTCCTCAGTCTGTTCACAAGTCTGCACCCACAGCCTGTGGTGGTCTGTCAGTCACAGATCACTGTGTGGGGCAGTGGGAGCTTAGAGCTCCTGAAACTTCCTTCCCCTTTCTGACAGTGGAAGCAGGCTCTTCTTGGTGAGAGCATTTCAAACAGCTCCATTCATAGCTCACAGAAACATGGGATTTTAATTTATACAATCTCTTTGGAGCTTGAAAATCCACTGTTGCAATCAGGAAAGTTGCAGCTTTGATTAAAAATCCTAAAGGCAAGACTCATGTTGTTTCTTACCCACCTTAAATAAGCACAAAGGAGATTGGGTGCATAAAATAATGATGAGTGAGAGTTCAAAGCAATCCCAGAAAGCTGGCCTTAGAGGTTGTTTTCTGATGCGATTCCAGCTCTTTACCATTCTTCTTCTTTGTTGAGTAAGTGCCAACACAGCAAATATAATTTAGCAGGGCAAAGCCCTTTTCTTTCAGTAAACATTAGTCAATGTATCTGAGAAGTCAGCTTTTCCAATCTTAAAAAAATACGGTCATTAAATAAACACTTTGAGTAGGGTCTGAAAGAGACCTTTCCTCTGTTATCAAGGCAAGGGTCCTGGTGAGGGAAATGTCTCCTCACCTCTAACTTTTGTCAGATTCCCAAGCTTGGTTTGACACCAAGAGGCATTATTATTTCCAAAGCAGTTTTTTCAAGTGCTGAATAACTGGTGGGGAAGGGCAAAAAAAGCACAAAGAATAGCAGGCTCTTCTCTTTCATAACTTTTCAGACGTGACCTGTCTTATATCAATTACCTAGCAATCTGGTATCTCTATACGTTTACACTGATGTTCATTGTTAGCAGGTGCCTCTAATAAGTGCCTCTGATCATCTGATTTTAACAGAAATGGTGTTTCACGTCTATACCACAGATATCTAAAGTGCTTTCCAAGCAGGAACTGATGTTTGGAATATCCCCCTGAGACATGTCCCCAACACATTTTATCTGTACAGATGCACTGTCACACCAACACCATCCCAACATGCAGAAGATGATAGTTTTCCTGCTCTTTAGAAGGCAAAAATGGGGGAGGAAGGCAAAAGAAAGAGATCAAATACTAGGCAGAAAACGAGAGAACTGCTAAGGTTCTGTTAAGACATAGAATAATAGAATGGTTTGGGTTGGAAGGGACCTTAAAGATCATCTAGTTCCAACCTCCCTGCCGTGGGCAGGGATACCTTCCACTAGACCAGGTTGCTCAAAGCCTCATCCAGCCTGGCCCTGAACACTTCCAGGGATGGGCCCTCCGCAACTTCTCTGGGCAACCTGTTCCAGTGCCTCACCGCCTTCACAATAGAGAATTCCTTCCCAATATCTAATCTTAATCTACCCTCTTTCAGTTTAAAACCATTACTCCTCATCCTATGGCTAAACTCCCTGATAAAGGGTCCCACCCCACCTTTCCTGTAGGCCTCCTGTAGGCGCTGAAAGGCTGCAATAAGGTCTCCCTGGACTCTTCTCTTCTCCAGGCCGAACAGCCCCAACTCTCTCAGCCTGTGTTCATAGGAGAGGTGTTCCAGCCCTCTGATCATCTTCATGGCCCTCCTCTGGACCCACTCCAACAGGTCCCTGTCCTTATGTTGAGGGCCCCAGAGTTGGATGCAGTACTCCAGGTGGGGTCTCATGGGAGTGGAGTAGAGGGGCAGAATCACCTCTCTCAGCCTGCTGGCCTCACTTCTTTTGATGCAGCCCAGGATCCAGTTGGCTTTCTGAGCTGTGAGTGCACATTGCTGGCTCATGTTGAGCTTCTCATACACCAGCGCCCCCATGTCCTCCTACTCTGGGCTGTTCTCAATCCATTCTCTGCCCAGCCTGTATTTGTGCTTTGTGTTGCCCTGACCCACATGTGAGACCTTGCACTTGGCCTTGCTGAATGTCATAAAGTTCGTATGGGCCCACCTCTCAAGGTTAGTACAGGCCCACCTCTCAAGCCTGTCCAGGTCCCTCTGGATGGCATCTCTTCCTTCTAGCATTTAGACCACACCACACAGCTTGGTGTCATCGGCAAACTTGCTGATCCATGTCGCTGACAAAGATGACAAAAATGTTAGCGCTTGTCCCAATATCAACTCCATGAGGAATTCTCTTTGTCACTGGTGTCCACTTGGAAATCAAGCCATTGACCGCAACCCTTTGAGTGTGACCATCCAGCCAATTCCTTAATCCACCGAATGGTCCACCCATCAAATCCATGTCTTTCCAATTTAGAGACCAGGTTGTCATGTGGGACAGTATCAAATGCTTTGCACAAGTCCAGGTAGATGATGTCAGTTGGTCTTCTCTTATCCACCAATGCTGTAACCCCATCATAGAAGGCCACCAAGTTTGTCAGACATGATTTGCTTTTAGTGAAGGCATGTTGGCTGTCACCAATCACCTCCTTGTTTTCCATGTGCCTTAGCAGAGTTTATAGAAAATATTTTAGTAAAATGCAATTTTATACATTCCTAAATGACACTGAAAAAAAAAAAAAAGAAAGGAAGAAATGACAAGAAATACAAAGGAAAGTGTGATGTTCTCATAGTCAAGGTGGAAGTTGAGTATCCTTCATCCCTGCATTACTACTACCACCACTGTCCTAAGTATTGTTACTGTTTTACCCACATTACTCTTTATAGAAATCCCAATGCTCAGTGTCTGTATTGGCAGCTGCTAAGGGCTCTGGTTTTAAAATTTAGGACACCGTTTATTGCACACAGACCTAGGCAACACACATTTTTCCTTGAAGAGCTTTATTTCCTCTTCAGTTACACTGATATACGTGCATTAGAGCTACTCCTAGTGCCCTTTGGTAATAACTAACAGGAGAAATAAAATAAAATGAGAAATAAAAGGAGAAAGGTTAAAGGAAAGCTTAAAACTGAGGAGTTTTTTTACATTAGGTGGAGGCGTCTGAAATAGTTGGTCTAGCTGTAAGTCTGGCAGCTGATGCGTGTGAAGACAGGCAGTTTGGGAGTCAGAGTTTTCTGAGGCCAGGCATGAACCTGAAGGGCACAAGGTAGTGGGAGGTGGGCCAATTTGACAACCAGAAGCAGTGTAGCCACCTCCTGTGGAGGTGAATCCAAGATAATTAGTCCTGATGAGAGTGGTTAATTATTGTCACCAAAGTGACATAGCATACCAGAGCTGGTGTCTCTACAGACACACGTCCTGAGTGTCCTTCTTCTAGTGGACTACAAATATGTAATTCTGATCAAAGTCCCATTGCCACCAGAGAATTCAGAGCTGACATTGACACCTGAGCACAGGCTATAAAATGGAGGCAGGCAAGGCATGTCAGAACATCAGCTACTGTCAGATAAGAAAAAAATATTTATTTCAGTGCATCTAGTTCTGTCATTTATTTTTGGAGACTTTCAAACAGTCTTTTGGTGTGAGAAGATGTATGATTGGAACCCACTTATGGAAACAGCAGCATAATTCTGCCAAATGAAGTGCCGAAATATGTTTTCCCAACACCTGATACAAACTGTTTGGCAGCTGTTGGAGAGATGTCTGCTATGGGTAGCAGAAGATTGAACCTGCAAGGCAAAGCTAGAAATTTAAAGGAGGAATGCCAACCTCCAGTGAGCTCAGAACGAGCTCTAAAATACCAGTTGGCATTTGAATAGAATTTGGTTGATTCCCTTTTTTAGAAGATGCTCCTGGGAAGGGTTTTGGTTTCTTGCTATTAAACGTTAGGGTCCTGCAACATCCAAGGCTTGCAATGTTTTTCCATATGAACCTAGGCATGATAAAGACTTTTGACAGGTGTTTAATTTAGAAGTAAGCTTGCAGCTGCTTCAGATAGGAATAGGGGGGTTGTCTCAAGAGCTGTTGTAAGTGGCTGGAATGTGGCACTTAAAGGTGCTGCCGCTGGAGGTCGTGGGTATCTGTGATTGCAGGTATCTGTCCTGTTCACTGAGTAGATGCCATTTTTTACAAAAGCAGTACAGACTTTGCATATTGGGTAGGATTTGAATGGGGACCTAGTGACATAGCTGGTCATATTTAGGTCTTGAACTATACAAGGATTGTTCTTGCAGCAAGGGAGAAACATAAGAAATTTTTTTTCAGAATTAGATGACAGTGGATGGGAAAAGACTGAGTGACTTTCAGTAGGATGATTAGGGACAGAGAAGGATAACCAGGTGGAGTTTGGAAAAAAAAAAACCTCAAGTCATGAGATTTTTAAAGACCTAGTGGGCCAAAACAATCAATATCTGTGAGACACCAAGATAGAGATAATGTCCTGACTTTTAAATTGTTTTCTATAGGTAGTGTGTAAATACTTAGATTTATATAGTAGAGTCCCTTCCAAAATAGAATAAAATTATCTGAATGACAGAGAAACATTATTTCTGTAGGGCTAGCATAACAGGTATGAAGGAAACTAGGTTAAACTTACAAGATAATCTCTTTATCTTGGGATACTGAGTCTGGTAGCAAAGGAGCAGGTTGGGAATGTTAATGTCTGAGAGCATCAAATCCCGTGTTAATATGACCAGCTATCGGCAG